AGGGAGTTTGAGTGAAAGTGGCCCACCAAAAGCTCTTTTAATCAAAATTCTTAATATTAAAAATAATTGAGCACCAATTTACTAATTTAATCAATTTAATCTGATTCGAATCAATTTCCAATTAAATTTCACCGTAGGCTCTAAAAATTACACTAATTACAATGGCGCAATCAATTTCGGATTCTGTGGCCGATAAGGCCTTCAATTTAATTTCCAAAGCAGATAATCAAACAGATATTCCTACGGTGAACAGATAGAAATTCAAAACCACATATTTTCACATTATGGCACACAAAATCATATTAATCATACTCATATTAAGGATCAATTAATATATTACGGAACAGGGATATCTAAGTCTTCTCCCCTTTAGGAAGTTTGGTCCTCCAAACTTATTTTACCTTCGTCGAAAAACAAATGTGGATAGCGTAGTCGCATTTCCTCCTTTTTTTCCCATGTAGCATCCGTCCCATAGTATTCTTTCCATTCCACTTTCACCATTGGGATGAACTTGCTCCTCAACTGTTTCACTTGCCGGTCGACAATTCGTTCCGGCCATTCGGCGTATTCCATATTTTCATCAATGGCTACCCGGTGATAATCAATCACATGAAACGGGTCTCGGAGGCAACCCCTCAACATCGACACATGAAACACATTATGGATTTGTTCAAATCTCGGTGGCAAAGCAACTCTATAGGCCACTGGGCCAAGCCTTTCCAGAATCTGAAACGGCCCAATATAACGGGCCGACAGCTTGCCCTTCTTTCCAAACCTGACTTGGCCTTTCATTGGGGACACACGGATAATCACGTGATCACCGACCTCATACTCTAGAGGTCTCCTTCGAACGTCTGCATAATTCTTTTGTCGGTCCTAGGCTGTTTTGAGCCTCTACCGAATAATTTTGATTTTCTCAGAAGTGTCTTGCACAATTTCAGGCCCAAGTAAAGCTCTATCCTTGACCAAATAGGTGATCTACACCTTCTACCATACAAAGCCTCGTATGGTGCCATACCGATGCTGGAGTGGAAGCTGTTATCGTATGCAAACTCTGTAAGTGGCAAATAGTCTTCCTAACTCCCCTGAAAGTCCAAAGCACACATCCGAAACATATCTTCCAAAGTCTGTATTGTTCGTTCTGATTGCCCATCGGTCTGTGGGTGGAATGCAGTACTGAATCTTAGTTCTGTCCCCATAGCTTCCTACAAACTCTTCCACAATCTAGATACAAATTTCAGATCTCTATCCGACACAATGGATGCCGGAACTCCGTGTAAACGGACAATCTCATCAACATAAATGGTAACCAGTCTATAAGAATCAAACGTGATTCTAACTGGTAGAAAATGTATAGATTTAGTCAGTCTATCAACTACAACCCAAATAGAATCCATACCTCAAGAAGTCCAAGGTAGGCCAACAACGAAATCTATAGTCACATGCTCCCACTTCCATTCAGGAATAGGGAGAGGTTGAAATAAACCACCTGATTTCTGATGTTCAGCTTTGACTTGCTGACATTGAAGACACTTGGACACATATTCTGCAATCTCTTTCTTCATTTAAGGCCACCAATAGGTTTGTTTCAAATCCCAATACATTTTATTATTACCCGGATGCATAGCTAATACGGATCTGTGGGCTTCATCTAAAACGCTCTTCTTTAGTTCTGAAATATCTGGGACACACATTCTGTTCCAAAATCTCAACACATCATTCTCAATGCCAAACTCTGCTTTCGGACTTGTCTCAAATTCATCAATCACTTTCTTGAGGAATTCATCTTGTTTCTGCTTCTGCTTGATTTCGTCAATGATTGCCGGCTCGGCTGTAATAGCGGCTATCAATCCCGCCCATGTTTCACACATTACCACTTCAATTGCAAAAACTCTCAAATCTTGCAAGATCTCTTATCTGTTCAGTAAGCAACAGCCATTACTCCCCGGTTGATTTTCTGCTCAAGCTCAACAACTGTGTTAAGCTTCCCGGAGGTGATACTGAATCTCTAAATCATAATCCTTTATCAGTTCCAGCCATCTCCTCTGTCGCATATTCAACTCCTTCTGCGTGAAGAAGTATTTCAGACTTTTGTGATCCATGTAGACTTCACACTTTGCTCCATACAGATAATGCCGCCAGATTTTCAAAGCAAAAACAACTGCGGCCAATTCTAGGTCATGTGTTGGATAATTCTTCTCGTGTGGCCTCAACTGTCGGGAGGTGTAAGCAATAACCTTTCCGTTCTGTATTAACACACAACCCAAACCTTTATAAGACGCATCACTGAAAATTACGAAATTTTCCGTACCTGAAGATAGTGTCAAAATTGGTGCAGTGGTCAATCTTGTTTTCAGTTCGTGAAATGTAGTTTCCCTTTCGTCGTTCCATTCAAACGATTGCCCTTTTCATGTCAATTGGGTAAGAGGCACAGCTAATTTCGAAAAGTCCTTCACAAACCTCTTGTAGTACCCAGCTAAGCCCATGAAACTACGGACTTCTGTCACACTGGTCAGTGTAGGCCAACTCACAATCGCCTCTATTTTCTACAAGTCCACTGAAATTCCTTCCTTCTTGATTACATGCTCTAAGAAAACAACTTCATCCAACCAAAACTCACATTTCTTTAGCTTAGCAAATAATTTCCTTTCCCGAAGTATTTGTAGGACAGTTCTCAAATGACGTTCATGTTCAAGTCTATCTTTAGAATATATCAAAATATCATCAATAAAAACTACAACGAATTCGTCAAGGTAGGTTTTAAAAATTCGATTCATTAAGTCCATAAATGCTGCCGGAGCATTAGTCACTCCAAATGGCATAACAAGAAACTCAAAATG